GCATAAATTAAAGGATATGGTAAATATCCAATGAGACAACTAACAACTAGTAACAAACTATTTTTTTTTCATTCCGTTTTCTGCTTATTTGTTTTGTTTTTGATTTTGTTGTTTGTTTGTTATTTTCTTTTTTTTTTATATAATAACCACTAAATGGACAATGCAAGTGTATTCGATCCACATAGCGATCATGCTCTACTTCTTACCTCCAATCGAGTGACGATGAGACTAAGAGTGGTGGTGCAATCTTATATATTCGAGGTACCGAAGGGGGAACTTGAATAGTGGAATATTACAAGTTCACAACGGTTCCTCTCATATATAAGATATTGGATTCAACAAACCAACGATGTGTAAAACGGAGCTCGGTGAAATATTATTGCATAACTGACCAAATACAAAACCGTATTTAATGTTCAAACTTCATTATCATACAACAATACTCATTCTAAAACATATCCAATATTTATAAATAGAAGTATGTTCCAATGTCAGAACATTTGCTATATTGCCCTCACTGTTTCAACATAAACATCATTAATTGAAACTGAAACTTTTCAATTTGCTCAAATCAGTATATTGATTTGCAACTTTATCAAACGAAGAATTTCCCTTATCCAAATTTTCCGCAGATTGCGACAAAACTGACTATATTGATATCTAATGAATATATAATTTGTATATCCCATAACGTCCGAACACCGCTAAACAAGAACAAATACAATGACCTTCTGATTTAGGACTTATCAGTTTCCCTACATTGGCATAATGATCAACCATATGTTTTGTGCCCCACCCTACGTGTTGATAAGTTGCTTCATCATTAACCCCTATCATACGTAATGTAATTGCACATCCTCTTCTACTGCTGTGGGAAGTTTCCCCTTCGTATAATTTTAACACATTTAAATGCAATTTAAGTCTCTCTGTCATGCAAGATGAAGTAACTGGTTCATTTACAATTTTGCGGGACCCTTTGTCTCGTATACGGAAAACATATCCTTCCATAAGAGTATTGCTTAACTCCTTAGCGTTGGTAATGTACTTTTTAAAGTTTTTGACCGGACAAATATCAGAGTCCTTTGAAGGAAGGACTGAAATTTCTTGGATTATCTAAAGTAGCGACTTTACCAGCCGGTTGGGACACAAAAATCCCATCCGAGTCGGGTATTTGAAAACATATATCTGCAGTCAATAAACCAAGATCTCCCCCTCTACTACCAGAATGACAAAGAATTGAAAAATAAGCCAGGTCTCTTGCATACAGAAATTTCGAAATAGGATCTACCTCTACTGAAACTCGATATGATAAATGTCTGCATAGCTTTCCTAACTTACTAAACATTAATGGAGTAGCTTGTTTTACAGAAATGCTAGCGTTAGCCTGTTCCTGATTTATGACCTGCAAATGTTTTTTTAACAAATGTGAGGCAGCCGGGTTACCCGTAAGAAGCATAGGATTCCACTCGCCTGATCGACCCTCATCTCTGAATAATGCTCTGATTTTGCCTAGTAAAGAATCAACAGACTTTGATGCCAACGTCCTTGGGCATTTGCATACTTGAAGGCCGTGTATAGTGCGCAAAGGACAGTTGGTTACATGTAACTGCGTTTTCCCACCCTTTTCTTTGAAAATGAGAAATTTTCTAATATCTTCTGGACTTGCAGTATTAATACACTGTACATGTATATATTTGCGCTAAATGTTCAAATTCTTGTGTTGTTATCAATAACTGGTTGAACTCATTCTTAAACAAGATATATTTGCTAACATTATTAACACCTATATGAATGAAAATAAGCCTAGGCGGGTGTGTCCTAATAAGCCTCTCAAGTTTTGGTGCAATTTCACACAGTAGAGCACCACTTTGTGAAGAAACATTTACCATTGGGTTATTATATAAACAAAAGCATCTTGTATAAATTCATAATATGTTGGAACCCATGCGGATATTACTCCATCGACACGCAGTATCACAGTACAATTTAACATATTCTCCCTGATAAAAGATAACACCGGTAATAATAACGCAAAAGGAGGAAATACATAACAGTTTTTATTTGTATCCACAGTTTGAGCAAACAAATTTACACCTGCTGACAAAGGAGAAAAACATGGCGGGAAATGTTTTAGAATCCCACCGTTTCTGTCTGTAATGCTATTAGAATCTAAAGCCATCAAGTCGATCGTATGTCCTGTATTTCCACCAAAATACTCTTGTATTTTATTCCATATCTCGTTCTCTAAAGTCGCGTCTGATAAGTTTTCTCGATGGCTCATCAGCGAAATAATATTTAGATGGTACAAAATGTAAATTAAGCATTACATCTAAATCTAAAGTCAATTGAAAAATGTCTTTGAGAGTAGTATTCAATATCATAGATATGGAACCTTCGTTATTCCAAGCACCTATCAAGGCCTGATTGTCTACGTTTGCGTCAACCCGACTACCTTTTATGTCTTCCCGTATTGACCTTAATGCATTTAACAAAGCTTTAGCCTCTAGTACCATAATAGGAAGCGATAACATTTCCTGTGCCCACGAATCGCCGACTTTGTGCTCTCTGTCGTTTATTTTGAAATATCCACCCCATTTGTACATAGAAGCAATTGTATAAATGTTTACAACTAAATGCCGTTCTTTTATCCATTCCAGCTTTCCTGTCCATGAATCCAAAAATCGACAATTGATAATCTCGTCTTTTAAATCTTTTGTCATTGGAATACTTGTTTGTTTGCGGATTCCTAATGAGATTGCATTGTTCATCTCTCGAGTGTAAAGTTTTGCTGCCGGAACAGCTAACATAAAAGAAATACAGCGACCCACTATTTTTTGTAAATCTAGCACCGTACCAACACTTTTTTCTAAACAATTCTCGCGTAAAATAATGTATTTTGGTTTTTTCGACTCAGTTATTCTGAAACATCTAGCTACAGAATCAACTACAAATCCAAAAAATACTACTGATTGTGTCGGGAGGAACACGGTTTTGTCTAAATTAATGCAATATCCTAATCTAGATACCACTTCACAAACGATGTAATTTGCCAATTAAGCGCAACTGAACCCTGCCTTTAAACCAGGTTTTCTTACATCCTCTTTAAGACGATCATCTATATACAAATGTACAGGAATCAAACATTTCCTTCTAATATAAGATGTTACTTGCAGATTTAAAGTTTGATAAATGTAGCTAGATAGTTTGAAACCAAACGGTTACGTTTTGAAAATAAAATAAAAGCCACCCCACTTGAAACCCACTAGCCTTCGAGAATCCTCGGATAACGAAACATTATCAAAACCTGAGAGATCGAGGTACATTTTTTAAAGTGTCTAAACTGAAAGGTATATCTTTGATCCAATTATTCAAATACATTAGATTAATGCAAAGTCTAGGTTTTGTCGGCTTTACGGTTAACGGTGCGACAATGTGGGGTGGTTTTACTAAATGTAAACCTACTTTTCCTATACATTCAATGGAACCATTTTCAATCTTTCCACAACTGTTTCTGTTATGAAAGTAGAAAACTTTTTGCATTTATTCGAATTATTGAATATTCTGCAAGGTGGGAACTTATCATCATAAAAATGCCCCCATAAATCTCCTTTAAAATGTACAATATAGTTATTAATATTTATACTTTGAACTAGCCAGTCCAAAATTTCATCTGAAGAATGTGAACAAGGTAATATTTTTTGCCATGGATGCAACCTAGTGTTAATTTGTCCGGCTACCAAAGGGTTCGGATTAAAGAATTTTATTCACGTTTCGTATATCTGAAGATACACCATCCGTAGCTTTTGAATAAACCTCCTCTGCTGAATTTACCTCCCTATCATTAACAATTGTTGTGTTTTCAAAATTAACGAAAGTCGGTTGTCTAACTGTAACTGACGTAGGATCTGTTCCCAAATTAATATCAAATTCCCATGGTTTTAAACGAAATTTATCCTGAAATGAAATAAATAGGAATTTGTTAACTAACAGAATGAAAGGTGGTTATTGTAAATTGCTAATTACGTTAAACGATTTAATTTAAACTTGTGGGAACCAGTGTAGCTGTACAATCACGAACAAAATGACCAGGCTTATTATATTTAAAACACAGATTGTGATTATTACCACGAGGCCTACCGCGACGAGGTAAGCCTGAAAAACGAGGAGGCATTCCGTAAGTGTGACCTTGTGTTTGTCCAAAAGAACCTCCCATAAAACCAGGCCCATGCAAATTAAAATTATGTGACTGCATATAATAATTGTAACTATGAACATCATTCATGCCAAGAAATTGCCTCCGTTGAAATTTTGCAAACATCCCATAGAGCAAATTACACGGATGATTAATATTGACCATTTGGTATATGGCTGTGTTCTAAGCGACACGTATATGCAGGTCATAAATTAATTTGTTGAAAGAAATCAAATCTTTAACTACTAATGGGTGCCGTAGGAGGTCGACCGGAATTTTTAGCGAGGATTTCTTGGCATGTAACAGATAAAAAAACTCAGGGTTAGAATTCATAGAACAGACAAGGGGCAGTGGCAAATATTTCATATATAGTTTGAACACAGAGAGGATTACCCAGGCACCCTTTGCAAAAATAAAACGAACTTTTTCTTCATTGTGATTTCAGACTTTAAGTTTTGAATTGTAGTTTCATTTTCCATATTCGGTATTTATTCTAATGTAAGCTCCACGTGGTAAAAATCACGTGATGCAGGAATACATTATCTTGGAGTTAGGCTATTTCCTTCTTTTAGGCGGGGACTCCAAGCAGACAACATTCACGTGTATAACGGAACTGTAGATTTTCTTATTAAATAAAGATAGTTGCCGGTCCGGTACATGAATAGATCAGTTAGAAAGCAAGGTTTTAATTTTAATTAGATTGGTAAGCTTAAATCGAGTGTTCAAAATGGAGAACGCCAAAAAAAGTAAAGGGGGGAGGGGGGTTTCACAGGGAATAATTTTATTTATGAGCTCTACATTTGAAAGATTTATTTTTTGTTTTTTTAATTTAATTAAAAGAGAGAAAAAAATGTTAAACAAATTGTGAATGGTCTTTCTTCCTTTCTCCTATGCCAAGAAATTGCCTCCGTTGAAATTTTGCAAACATCCCATAGAGCAAATTACACGGGTGATTAATATTGACCATTTGGTATATGGCTGTGTTCTAAGCGACACGTATATGCAGGTCATAAATTAATTTGTTGAAAGAAATCAAATCTTTAACTACTAATGGGTGCCGTAGGAGGTCGACCGGAATTTTTAGCGAGGATTTTTTGGCATGTAAACCAAATGTCTTGAGTAACTTCTGTTCTTTATCAAGCACCGCTTCCTCTTCTTTGTTGCACACAAGTTTTAGTACTAACGCTGCTGCAAAATTCGGTCTATTTTTGTGAATATGAAATCTACTTAAAATCAAATTTATTTTTTTCCTTCAAATCATGATTTTGCTTTCGCGCTAAATTGTCTAGCAATATTAATTTTTCATGTAAGACATCAATATCCAACTTTCCTTTGGCAGCCTCATATCTTTAACATCTCTCTTGACCCTTTCAAATTCAGATAATTCGTCATCAGCTTGCTTCTTCTCTAACTTTTTCTCAAGATCTGCTATTTTATCTTCTAAAGTTTTCATCTAAACAAATAAATCAAAGTTATCTTTTTTTAATTTCAAGCATTGATCTAACACATGGTTTATATTCAACACGCAAAAATCACCTCGAACTATTAATAACATTTCTTTACATATCATATTTTGAATAAACTAATATTTCATACCTTCTAGTAACACACATATCGAGTTTCTCATAACCGTTTCCTTTAGGCATGCTTATTTTTTTATATAAATTTATGATCATATATACCCCACTCCACTCAAATGAACTAGTTTACACAAATAAATCACATATTTATCAAGAAATAATTATCAATTAGCTTAATTGATCATAAGAGCCCTTTGCTTCACGTCCATTGACATGACTTGTAATAAAACATGCAATGATCTTGCTTAAGATTTAAAATCTTAAACACATTACTAGTATTTGTGGTGACATCACACACATCTAAACTTGAAACTGCACATGCCTGTTAATTAGTATTGAGGCAGTGATTTAAATTAATGAAACATGCATACGTACATTAGTGTATGTACTATCATGTATTTGTTTTATATTAATATTTTATTTATCTTTTCTTTTCTTTTCCTTTAATTTCCTTTATTAATAATTAAACGTAAATAACAAGTTTATAAATCTTCAAATGAAACATATTAACAAATGCCACCTTCCCACGCAAATTAACCTTTAATGCAACCCAAGGGCTTAATTTTATTGCAATCATGTTACTGAAACCTGGTGCTAATAAAATATTGATATCTTTGAAAACATGTAACTGTCAAGTGTCTATGTTTGACCGCATGTTTAAACATACACCCTGCTGATGTGAACTTCGAACATAATATTCAGATTATTGATCCACAGCTGATCATCAAACAACATCCAATTAGTGTCTGAACTAGAAAGTTGTTTTTTTTGTAAACAATTTATTATTACCACTATCATTATCAACATGTTCAATCAGTAAATTATTATGTGTCAAAAATTAACATGTGTTGTTTATTATTTCTTTTTGTCTTTTTTTTCTCTCTATATCTTCTTTTTTTTCTTAAGAGCTAAATTGTAAGTTATATATACAAGATATACATCTATATTTAAATAAATTAAATATACTCTAATTTATAGACTATTCTGATTTTTATTTCTTTTTTTTTTTCTTTTTTTTAATTTTGTAATTATAAATTCTTCTTTTAGCGTCATTAACAACTTGATACAATCTCAAGCTCTGTAGCCAAATTGTAATTATTTTCTAACTTTTTAGTTTCGGACATTTGTTCCCACCTACACGCATTACAAAATAGTGTACAAATTGTTTATCCTTAATGTAAATAAACAGAACAATTATGATATCAATTATTATATTGCTATATAAATCAACCATTAATCAACTTAAGGGGGGTTACTTTTTAAACATGTAAATTGTCCCTTATCATCAAAGCTTTTATTCTTTAGTTTTTTTTATGTTTTTTTTTTCTTTCACTTATCTTACTTTCTATTTTTATTTTACCCCGATAACAGTGTCCCAACTTTATATTTAGCATTTTTTAAATTCTCATTATTAGTTAAAAGATAACCCCTTTCTAAAGTACAAACATCATGTAGACGAACATTTGAAAAATCATGTTCTCTATTGACATTCAAACATGATCCTGAAAAAATTTCTTTTGTGATATTCTCTACTTTACATAATACAACCAAGTAAATTCTTCCTTGTCACGTTTAAACACGAATCCTGAACCCACAAATGTGTGTAATTGTGTAATTCTCTATAGAAAACATTTTTTTTCTCATTCCCGATCATTTTATCTTAACCTTTTACAAATAATCCGTACACGTACAGAAACAATAATCTTGAAAAATTACTAACAACTTCGTCATCCTTTTTCCTTTCACTCCCAACAGGGACAGTCTATACTATAGTCTGTCCCTGCTCCCAAGCACCATGCCCAAACAAAATAAATCAAAATATGTTTTCTATCTGTCTCTCTATTCACGTTCGACATAAAAGCCCGAACAATATTTACGTTCAGCATAAAAGCCCGAACAACATCACGTTCAGCATAAAAGCCTGAACCATATTCACGTTCAGCATAAAAGCCTGAACAATATTCACGTTCAGCATAAAAGCTTGAACAATTTCCACGTTCGGCATAAAAGCACGAACAATATTCACGTTCAGCATAAAAGCTTGAACAATTTCCACGTTCGGCATAAAAGCACAAACAATATTCACGTTCAGCATAAAAGCTTGAACAATTTCCACGTTTGGCATAAAAGCCTGAACAATATTCACGTTCAGCATAAAAGCCTGAGCCATATTCACGTTCAGCAAAAAAGACTGAACTATTTTCACGTTCAGCATAAAAGCCTGAGCAGTATTCACGTTCAGCATAAAAGCCTGAACCATATTCACGTTCAGCATAAAAGCCTGAACAATATTCACGTCCAGCATAAAAGCCTGAACAATATTCACGTTCAGCACAAAAGCTAGAACAATTTCCACGTTCGGCATAAAAGCACGAACAATATTCATGTACAGTATAAAAGCTAGAACAATTTCCACGTTTGGCATAAAAGCACGAACAATATTAACGTCCAGTACAAAGCTTGGACAATTTTCACGTTCGGCATCAAAGCACGCACAATATTCACGTTAAGGCGTAAAAGCCCGAACAATAGTCGTTATATGAAAAATGAAAATATCTTAAATCATATGTTTTCTTTTCGTATTATAATTTCACCGCAAATACTTTTACACGTTCAAAACTTTAACATTTTTCTTCTAATACTATCTACATCATTTTTTTTTACATCCAAGCAGCATGCCAAGACACAATAAATTACATTCGGCATAAAAACTCGAACAATAATCGTTATATAAAAAATAAAATATCCAAAACTTATATGTTTTCTTTCCTTATTATATTTCAAAAACTTGAACACTTTTCTTTTATCTTTTCTATTCACGTTCGAGCATTTAACCCAAACTCTAGACAAATTGCATTGAATCTTAAAATTTATAGAAACATAAAAATATAATAAATTACTAGATTTTCTTTGTCTTCAGATTCAAGTATCCAAACAAACATTTTTTTAGCCTAACTTAAAGAACTTTCCATTCTTCCGTTCTCATTTTTCTAAACAAACATTTAAACCGTAAAATAGGCCTATATGTGCCCGTTCAAATGTGAACAAATTATTTAATTAATATGTAACATTTCCGTCCCATATTCAGTATGAAAATACCACAGACGTACAACTGGCGTTCCGGGAAATTTCCTCTAACACTTTCATAATTTGTATTTCAAACTCAAAATTAACTAAAATATATGCCATTTATATACACAATATATACCCATATACTATGACTGCATAATACGTTAATATCTGTATTAATTAACTTTTACACTCATCGTATTCTCTTCTCATGAACCGTTGCTATATCAAATAAGATTCGAAAACTCACCCCTGACGATTTGTTTTCTGATGTTTTAGCTTTCTTCTTACGAAGTTCCTGTGTAACCGTATCTTCCTTCAATTCGTCTTTCTGCTCCAATGCAAAACTCACAACTTTGCATAAATTCTCTCTGGAGTCGTCTATATCAAGAAGCACTAGAATGTCATTTAAATGCAACTTTATATTAGTGGGTACTTGCAATAAGACTTCTCTACTGACTTCCCGTAAAATTTTTGAAGTTTAGGATCCTTGTCCGATCGATATCACTTAATTATTTTTAGGAGATCCATTATGCGTCTGCACGATCGTATGACCTTCAATCGAGCGACGATGAGACTAAGAGTGAGGGTGCAATCTTATACATTCGAGGTACCGAAGGGGGAACTTGGAATAGTGGTAATTTCTAGTAATGATGGGAGAATCTATTTTCCTCAAGAACAGATTATCTTAACTTCGTTTGGCGTGGACTTAATTTGGTTAATCTTTGACCAATTTTATGTTCTTTTAAGAATTCTTTTTTGTGGTAAACTATTTATACATGTAAGATGTTTCTTCTTTGGTCCAAACATAAATTAGAAATCGGTTGTTGTGCGTCATTTTAGATTTTGTTGGTTCATAGTCATATCTTAATGATTCCCGAAGCTAGTAATAAAGGGGCACATGAGAAATCAGGATCATACACCTTTTGAATAAATTAATAAAACTACAAAAACAATCGAAATTATTCAAAATACAAATGTATGACATTCACAAAAAATGCATTCCACATACGCGTATTCAACAATATTGTTTTAAAGTAATGATGACTAGTATAACATGCCCGTAACCAGGATGTGTCTGATGGGGTAATTTTAGCCATGACACTATTACTTTAATACTAAAACCTAAATCTGAATCTCGACTTTAATAACAAACATATTTCAGTGAGTTCGGAGTATCCCTCGAACCCCTTCACTTTTGACGTTCCCCTCCCCCACCCGAACCCCATTGGTTATTGGTGCGATCTATTTATTTAGTAATCAATATGCGATCACATTATGAACTTATTTTGATTGGCTTGTTGAAAACAATACTTTTTGTCCTTTTGTCTTCATTTTTACATCTTAAGATTTCAAACATTTTCTTTCGATGGTTCTAGGGAATTATTATATAACAGCGCTATATGCTCACAATAAAAATCGGTTGTTAAAGAGATATGTACTTTTTAATATTTTTATTCTGTAAAACTATTTTATATACACTTATCTCATTGTATCTCCTATCTTTAGACCTCCAATTGAGAAGAACAATGTACTTTTAAAGGTCAGGTTTGTTGATCACGAATTATTGGCCTTACATGTTAAGGTCTGGGCGTTCCTGGTAAACGTGGTAAAGGTAAATCCAGAAAATCGCATCCGAAGTACCAACTTTATAAATGTAATATTCAATATTTATACTTAGTACATTTGTGTTTGTTACTATTTGGATCAACAATGTGTTAGTACTCAAAGTCAGAATAATACATTACCATAAAAAATTATGGATTGAATTAAAAATGTAAGTTCCATGATATGAATAAAAAAAATAGGATCAATAAGGAATTAGACAAGTTTTTTCCCGGTTTATCTGCAATCATTAATATTTCCGAAACATATCCTGCATCATCAACACATTTCTAAATAAACACTTGATTATCTAAGTTTAATGAAAGATAGCAATATAATCCGGGATCAAACAGGGATAAATTACATTTTAAGTCCGACAAACTAGAATTATTGATAAAAGTAGCTATGACGTGTCATGTGTATGACATCTTTATATTATATTGTTGTCTGCCGTCATATGGTACCTTATGGTACCAGACTTGTATTACAATTGCAGTTTGCGATGCATGGAGTGAAAGGCAATACTCCATTTGTTCAGATTTTTTTCTTGTACTCAATATGTTCAGCTTAATTAAAAGCTTTTGGTGAATTGAAATATCTATCTATCAAATGTAAAAAAAAAATGCATTTTTTTGGGAGGATAATTTTAGGAAAGCGGTGCTGACCAGTAAAAACAACAATCAGTAGTTTTCATAACTTTGTAATCTGCTTGGCTCGTGGCACTTATTTCCCGCAATTAAATCACAGTATCATAGAGGTCACATGTTTACCAATTGTTTTGTTGTAGTTGCGAAGTGGACATTTTTTAATGGACGCCATTTAAAGAGTTACTAGAGTGGGTGGCGCATATTCGCCTTGGACACATTTAAATGATCCAGTCACGTCGCATAGATATAAATTATAAACTTTTTATGCATGACAAAACACCTGCATTAGACAACAAGTAAAACTGATCAAAACTTTCGGCACAAATCATTCGTTTCTTTCTGAGAGTGAGGTATGAAAAAAAAGTTTGTTTAACAAAATGATTAAAGTAAACAACAAAGAAACAACATAGTATGCTTAGTAAAGATGTTTAGAAAATCAGCACTCAGAGTGTTATATGTCATTAATCTTATCATATGTATTTGGGGACAGGAAATTTTTTGTTCCCCCCCCCCCCTTTTCCCAAATTCGTTATTTTCTTGTTTTCTTTTAATTTCGATTTTTTTCGAAAGCTTCTGTCTTTTACTTACATAAATATACTAGAAACAGCATTGTTATCAATTGCTAGTTTACTATCCACAGCAGTTACTGATAAAACGTAGTAGTAGAGACTATCCCGGTTTATCTGCAATTATTGATATTTCAAAAAATATCCTGCATCATTAACAAATTTCCAAATTTCTGGATTATCTAAATTTAATGAAAGATAGTAATATAATCCGGGATCAAACAGAGAAAAATCCTATTTTAAGTCAGACAAACTAGGATTAATAATAAAAGTGGTTATGACTTGCCATATGTCTATGACATCTTTATATTATATTGTTGTCTGCCTTCATATGGTACCTTATGGTACCAGTCTTGTATTACAATTGCAGTTTGCGATGCATGGAGTGAAATGAAATACTCCATTTGTTCAGATTTTTTTTTCTCAACTCAATATGTTCAGCTTGGTTAAATTTTTTTGTAAAAAAAAGATGCACTATTTGGGAAGATAATATCAGGAAAGCGCCCGGGGAAGGGTATCTTTTTTACTGGCTGCGGTGCAGACCAGTAAAAACAGCATACAGTAGTTTTTATAACTTTGTCATCTTCGTGGCTGGTGGCACTTTTTTTCCCGTACCACAGAGGTCACATGTTTGCCAATTGTTTGTTGCTGTTGCGAAGTGGACATTTTTTAATGGACGCCATCTAAAAAGTTACTAGCACAAATCTATTTGAACTTATCTAAATATTTGAATACGTTTTGTTACGTAATGTTCAGATGTAGCTCTATGAAAAAACATTGTAAAAGGAACAAAAAAAAATTGGAAAATTTAAATAAACGTTCAAATGTGGACATAGTGTGTTTGCTGTTTTTGAGCCCTTTGGTCTGGTATTTTCTGAGTCACGGTCCCAAAAAGCAGACAAAAAGTGTTTTCGTTGTCTCTAAATAAGTACAATTTATAGACTGAGATAAAAAAAAAAATAGAAAAAAATAAAAAAATAAATATATATATGATTTTACCACAATTTAACCCCTGGACAGGGAAAGTGGACATTTTTTGAGAGAAAAAAAACCAATATGTCTCTGTTAGTAGACATCATCACGGTACATTACGATTTGTAAATTATGGATATTTGATATGAAGATTCTTTTATTTGTTTTTGAAGATTAGCTGTTTACTAGTGGAGCATTCAATATACAAGGGGATGTGGATAGGGTTACAGAATAGAGAATAATGGACAAAACGTGCAGAATTAAGGGCCAAAAATATAATTAAGAATAGAGAAACATAGGCCAAATAAATTAAGAATAGAGAATAATGGGGTGCTTATAGATAACTGAGAAAAGAGAATATCAGGCAAATTTATAAAGAATAGAGAAAAATGGTATAGAAAATTACAGAATACAGAAATGAAGGACCCCCCACCCCCACAATCCAGACCCTCTTACAAGACTAAGCGGCGGACCTAGGATTTTTTTACCGCGGAAATTAAGAGCCGACATTTTTTTAACGATTTTATGTTAAAAAATCATCTAAATCGTGAGAAACACGAAATGTTAGAAATTGGAAATGTTTTGACAATTAATGGTCGGCGTACGCCCTCGGCGTTGCCCTGCATCCGCCACTGTGGCTGCAACCTTATATCTGACTTTTCTCATAAAAAAAATCCGGAAACAAGTCCTGAAACTATTTGAATGTTATGTGCATTAGTTTCCCGCCCTTTCAAAATATGTTTCCTGTAGGCCTGTAATGATTACATAAGAAATGGCAAAAACATACGGTTTCAGTGAAACACACTCAGAAATATATCCAAGATGTTGTGACTACATAAACAAAGTAAGACGTGCATTTTGAAAATATCATGATTTACCAGTATATGACCAGAGATATCTTAGCCTGGGGTCCTTGCTAATCTGTCAGTATAGCCAGGCGTGTATCAATGTCCTGCATGTCAATGATTAGTTAATACTAATTTTGTCGCGCAATGTTTGTTTTACATCTGTATCCAATCAATTTTTGTTTAACATCAATTAGTAAAAATTAGACTGTATTTATTTTTCTTTATGAATTGATGTACAGTGTTATCATATCTAATTGTTAGTATGATGATAATTGGTAAGCAGAAAAGGGTTAATTCTTATCCGTAATCAACTGGTGAGAAAGTTAAAAGTTTAAGATTTCACATGACCAAGGACAAGGTGTGAATTGGATTTTACTTTTACGACCTAATTTACATGTACACATGTATCTCAAAGGGCAAAATATATATGGAAAAAAAACATAAAAAGTAAAGGCCAACAAAAATTGCAGTTATTTTTTTTTTGGGAGAGGGGTTACATTTCAAATGATGTGTACATGTGCGAAGATACACCATCGTACATCTATTTTAAATTATAATTACATTAGACAATTACAATATTTATTAAATTTGATTTTTATAAATAAAGAGTTGTTTCGTTGACTCTTACCCCATATAATCCTTCCTGATAAAATATATATTAAATGTACAACATTTTTCAAAGTTTCTTTTGATTACACATACTAGTATTTATTTATACTGTTTAATATATATTTATTTTATTATATTACTGACAATGGGGACTCGTCAATCTGAGAGCAAAATGTATTGAATCAGAAGCAATGTTTCTTAATCATTGGTTTGAAATCTCTGGTTTACATCAAACATCAAAATTTATGCAAATATTTATTCATCCTCACTTTAGATTCAGAGTCAACTGGCACTGAATCGATCATGTGGTATTTGTTCCCCACCTGGCCCTTGCGACGCGCAGCTAGATCGGGCCGGGATGCCAGGCTAGAGATATCTCAGATAGGCACAAAAT